AAAAAAACTAACTTTATTGTTTTTATTAAAGCAATAAAATAACAAGAAGGCTCCAGTCGAGACTGCTCGACTAGGAGATACCCTGAACCCTCTAAGCTGATATTCTTATCATTCTGCATTTCTTCTATGCACACATACATACACATGCATCCAGACGCGCGTATAACAACGCGCTCTGCAAACTGCGCAGTAAGCAGCGACTGCGCTTGGGCTGCGCAGCAGTGTGAGCAATATTATGAGAATTTATTTGTTGAATAATTTCTTTTGTAGATATACGATCTTAATTAAACTTTCAGAGCGTAATCATATGGTAAAAATGTGTGTACATTCCAGAGCACAAGTCTCTAGTACTTGAAATGCGTTTTTTACAAATTGGGGGCGAAGGTGGCGTGGTATCCAAAATCTGTAAATTACAAAATCTTTGTATCTATTAACTTTATATATAATTTTACAATTACAATATTTTAAGACTCCAGGTCTAAAAGTGTTCAAATTAGCCTAAAAAAACAAAATCAAATTTTCGATTATTCTCTATAAAAAAGTTATCGGATGTGTTATCGAAAAATTAAAGCAAACTCGTACTGCGTATGGTATACACGAGTATGCATGCCAAATTTCAGCTCCTAGCTCTTATAAGTTCTGAGATGGACACATTCATACGGACAGACGGGCAGGGCTATATCGACTCAGCTCGTCGTGCTGATCATGAATATATATTCAGTTTTATCCGATTTGCCACGCCCTCAATAGGCGTAGATATATCCGCCGCAGCTCATGATCTTAAGTGGTCAATGCGGATCTATATACCAAATTTCAGTTTTCTAGCTCTTCAGCTAATGTGATTTCTGGCATATTGGAAAATGCATTTTCCGATATGCAACGCCTATAGTGGGCGGTAAATCCTAGATTTAACCGAGTATGTGTTCCAAATTTCAAGTCTTATTTCACTTTCGTGAATGAGTATAAAAATTGATAACCGTGATGGTTTGAGCGATTGCTAATTACAAATATTATTATGTAGTTATAAAAGAAAATTGTACCAAATGTTTAGTATAAACAACTGTATTACACTATCAATTCTACATTTACTCTAATGTCTAATAAATAAATAAAACAGCTACAAATCCACAAATACAATCTACCAAATAAAGAACTAAAGTAGCGGCAATTCAAGTGCAATTCTGATTCTTAGATTCTTAAAATATACTTGAATACATTTGTACATGTGTGCCCATGCACCTTCCCAGTTATATATATGTATGTTTGTATGCATATATATTTGCAACGGACGTAGATTTTATAAAAATTACAAATCTTTAGCTTTTATAGGTTATATGTATATTTTTATTAACATTGAATCTTACATATTTCTTTTTAGGAATTACAGCTGCCAAATTAAAAATGCTGTGAATTAAAATTTAAATATTGTTGAAACTCTAAAAAAAATCATTTACAAGTCCTCATGTCATCATCGCATTCAAAAAACATAACACACACATTTATTCACGAATTTATATCAAATTATCATATCATATTGAAACAAATAAATACGCAGTTCTTTTTAAAATATAGTTTAGTAATTAAATAATATTACCGTTTTTAAATTTGATTTATTTTGTTATTTTTACATACATATGTACATATTAAGTCCATCCATTTACGGAAGAAGACTTTTTGGGGCACTGTATATGTAAACATTTTCCAAATAAAAGTCTCAATCTTTCATAGCGGCGAAATACTTTACAAATCAGATATTGCAAAAAATCTAATCTACTTTTTCCATTTCGTGAACGAGTATAAAAACTAAAATAAAATGAATAGACGAAAAACTTATCTGGGGTTAAGCGCTCTGCCTTTACAAACATTTGTATGTATGAATGTATGTATGTACATATGTACATTCATTTGCACACAGGCATACATACATACCCATCAGAGAGCTTCCGGTTCGTTGCCAGGTACTCTAGAATAGTACCTTAAATTGAAGGCATTGACCACCTGCATACAAGCATACATACATATGCATATTGTTGAAATAGGCATGAGCATGTTTTTTTTTTTTTTTTTTTTTTTTTTTTTTTTTTTAAATGCATGTGCGTACATATAAACAGTTGCCTGATGTGTGTATATATGTAAATTATGTCATGTACACTACTCGAGATGCATACATACATGCACACATAATAAAATATTGTATGTGTATGTGATTAGCTCTTATCAGAGCTTAAAAAGCACAAACGCGCCGCACAACTAGCGAATCGAAGGCGCATGAGTAATATGCTGATCGCAGTGACGGCGTCGGGCTGCGCAGCATCACTGCCTGGCGCTGGCGCTAGCGCTGGCAGCGACCGCTGCAAGTAACAACCCAAATACAAAACTGTGGCCCCTACGACCATTTTGTTGCTGGTTGACTGGCTCGCTGGCATTTCTTGTGCTCCTTATCGCGACGACAACAGTGGCGCCGCCGACTTGACGGCACGACTACACGCTCAGCCGAACACACACACACACACACGCATCCATACATATATGTGTGCATACATGTATGTATGTACATATGTACAAATGTTCATATGCATACATACACGCACACAAATGTATTAAATTTACTTGCTCGCTTGCGTGCCAGCCAGAGGCAAAAGCAAAAGCAAAGGCAAAGGCAGGGTAACAACGCGACGAGACGAGACGAGACTCAATGAGGCACAGGCGCCACAGTGGGCGCCACTGACGTAAACGTAATAAAAGAAATAATAGTAACGATGTCGGCGGCGGCGTCGTCGCAATGGCGCCACCAATATAAACTTATATCAGACAGACACGAAACAACGACAGCGCCAGAAACGACAACAACAACACAACAACGATACTATAGACCGACGCGTCAGTTGGTCGGTTGGTCGCTCGCTCGGTCGTTTTGTCAGCCGGTTTGACAAGTTGGAAGAATCAAAAATCTGAGGTGAATTCGAACGAGCGAGAGCACAGAGCAAGTGCACAAGAGAGCATCGGTTCAGTGTGTGTGTGTGTGTGTGCGTGTACCTGTATGTATATGGGTGTATAAATATATTGTATGGATGTATGCATACATGTACGTGTGTGTGTATGTGTGTGTGTTATAGGTGGCAAAGAAATAAAACATTTCCGAATTCTTTTGAAAATTCAACAAGTATAAGAATCTAGTATTGGAATAGTATGCGCAATGTGGAGCAGCGGAGGAGCAAGGATGTCCGGGAATATTGGTATAATTAATAGGCAAATGGCTTTTTAAATACATACATACATTTTTCTTTATTATTTATACGTATGCCCGCACTAGTTCGTGGAAAATCGCTGGCACATAACAATGCACATCTGTGAAATATATGTGCATACACCTGCTGACGGCGCTATCATCAATGCTGATGGATGCCATTCAAGTAGGTGAAATATTGTTGTTTATAAGTAAATTGCAATGGCGCCGGCAAGTGCTACAGTGCGTCGGAGCAGAATTGGTATAATAATCAAGTAAAATTACACGGGAGAAAAAAAAAAAAAAACTTCCTCTAATTAGTCAGATTACATAGTATATACTGATCTACTTAAAACCATTTTCATTCAAGTCACCTTTATTCAGAACGGATAACGATTTGAGCTTTAGAATTACCAAATAATGTATATGCCTATGTATTAATGTATAGTAATACATAAAATATTTGTATATACTTACTTCATTGATGTGGTTGTTATTCCAATATATCCTTTAAGGCTTATTGTATAAATCACACCAATTTTACGTTGATTATGTTGGTGTATTGCAATTTGTTGATATGTATGAGGGTTTCATTCACATTTATTTAACGATTCACATTGCGATTATTGATATTAAATCGTAATTATTCTTCACTACTGAAAACTGTTTCGATTTAAAACACGCGGTGACGATATTGATTTATTATTTTTCGTAAGCACTAATCGAGTTGTCAGCATTTTTTGATGGCCTACTGTTTACATAAATACAAACATACATACATGCATGCATACATATATACACATAAACCCTCATATCTCTCTCATTAAGAGCATTGTTTTGGTTTTCGAAGGAACTGGAATTTATATCTGATGGAGGGAATGATGCTAATCAAATAATAATTCTTATGGCTTAGAAGATCGGTTTACACTGGATGTCAGCTAAAGATAAGGCGAACAGTTATGAATATTTTTTAATTTTCTTGCAAAATATGCGATTATAGTACTAAATACATATTTTTAATATTATACATATATTGTTTCGGACTAGACAATCTATTTGATTAATGCTCCAAATCTTGTTATATAAGATTGTTTACACACATATATGGCATATATCGTGTTCTGCAGCATAMAAGATAATGTATTCTAACACTGAATAAATACTTTATATTCAGTATATACACATATACATATATATAATCAGAAGCACGGAATATCCATATCTAAAGAACTAAGTAGTATCGAAGTTCATAGAACACTCATGAATAATAAATATACAATAATATTTAACATACATATACATATATATGTCTGTATGTTGATTTGTAGTTAATATAGAATGTAAATATGTATGTATTTTTGGTCACAACGTATTCACGTATTATCGGTTGCTTGAAGCATTGATCAATCAATGGAAGTACGTAAGTATTTTCTATGTATGTACGTATGTATTTATGTATGTTGCGTTACGTTACGTTCGTTAGCAGTCGTCACGCATATTTCAATGGTAAATGCGAGTTACGTACGCACACCTCTTTTTGTTTATTGATCAATATTTCTTACTTCGCACTTTTTGTGTGCCGTTATTCCACTTGAATATATATTTTGATTCGGCTTACACATGTGAACGGTGACGGTGACGGCGACGAATTTGTGTTTGCTCGTCACTTAATACACTAAATATTTCATTTCACTTTTCGTTTGCACAATGCTCGAATATAGGAGAGAACTAAGAAATATGTCCAAAACAATATATTGTCTAGATCAGCATAGAACGCGAACGATGTGAAGAAGCAACTGCCGCTGGACTATGTATTTTGCATTTATTTGTTGGTTACGCCCGCGTAACAAAAATGTTCGGATAGCAACCGAAAAATACCACGTCCGCTCACAACGAAAGTTTCTTGCGATTTGAGACAACATGCATATGTGTGTTTTAGTATCTGACGAATGTGTGGTGAGTTTGTCAACGCTCTCTCTCTCGCATACTGCGACGCTCGCCACACTAACACAAACGCACTTGCCACTCACTTGAAGTCGGCCGTACGCAATTTTTGACTCGCTTGAAGTTGGCTGCGCGCAAAATTCAGTTGCGTTATTTTGAGCTCAAGATGCAGTTGAACATGATATTAAAATGTTAACTTAACACAAATATAA